TTTAGTAGAGATAGGGTTTCACCATGTTGATCAGGCTGGTCTCAAACTCCTGATCTCGTGATCCACCTGCCTCGGCCTCCCAAAGTGCTGGGATTACAGGCATGAGCCACCACAGCTGGCTGAGAACGCAAATCTTACACTAAGAGATATTCGCTTTACGGCAAAGGTGGTACAACAATGGACAAATGCCCATCAATTCCCCTTTGTCTACTGTGTACCGCATCACCTAGAAGCTGCTGTCCTGACAGAATCACTGGAATGTCCTCTTAAAGGTGCAACAGCTTGAGAATAATACCTTGCAAAGTAGGAGTGCTGGCCCTGATGATGAGGTATTGGTGTTTATATGGCCACAATCTGGTACTGCATGTTATGACTCCAATAGGTGGAAAACAGTCTGGGAACTGAAGAAAATTATGTATACGGTGGTCCATTTCCAAGACAAAGGGCCTTGAACTGGCTTAGATCAGCAAACTACAAAAGAAACAGGATATGTGAGGCCTCTGCTCGGATAGCCAACGCCTGCTTGTTGGCCTCTGCCTTCCCCATAACTTAGTTGCCCTCAGCTGAACCAAAGCAGTTTAATCTAGGATGAAAGTTTACCAACCTGCACAATAGTTCATTTTGTCTGTTCTTGTCAGCCTGCCCAGCTATTTAGGTTATAAGTCCAATACTTGAACAGCGCCTGAGCTAGGATTGCAATGCATTGTGGGCTGCAACAAGATGCAGCAAGACAACCCTAAAAAAATACCTAAAACCTTTACCCAACAATCAACTGGCGATGTCCAGGAAGATTGTGACCCCATAATACTCAGCCTGTGAGGAACCAGGGGAGGGACCTGTGCACTAGGGGATAAATTGCCTGTTGAAACTGTGCTGGGTGTGCCTGCCCATCAGACATCTGATCTTGCAAGACCGTCATTAAAAGTCTCACTTGTGATGTTCTCCAGGTCTCTGAGTCCATTCTTTGGGTTTGGATGGGTGAATTTGTTTCTCACAGACACCAAGAGGTAAGAGTGGTGTGTGTCACTATAGCTCCCACTGACCCGCAGGGGCAATTTGTGCTTCCCATCCCTTCAACTTTAGGCTCTGCAGACAAAAACTCCTGACTTTAGGAGGTTGGCAGGGGATACCTATACCAGGGTATATAGAAAGGGTTCCATAAAACTATGGTCAATGCCTGGGCTATTGGGATTCCTCATACCAACACACCAGCAGATAAAGAGAGGCATACCAATCCCAACAGGAGTTAGTGAGTATCATGAGAAAAAGGGGGCAAGGATGAATATATCTGGAATGCAGGAGTTTCCCTGGGGTGCTTCCTTGTGTTCCCATGCCTGGTAATTAACATAAACTGGCAATTTCAGCAAACAGGACAAAAGCCTGATAACCAGGGCTAAGACCACCTCCCCTACCACTGCCGCCAGGGAGGAAGATGCAGGTTATCCCACCAGTCAAGCAACCTAGACAAGCAGACGAACTAGCCAAGTTTAAGAGGATTCTAGAATGTCTGTGCATTAGTTCACTAGGGCTGCCATAAAAAAAAAAAAAATACCACAGATTGGGTGGTTTAAACAACCAAAATTTATTATCTCTCCGTTCCAGAGGCTGGGAAGTCCAAGAGCAAGGAGAGCAAGGTGCAGAGTTGGTTTCCTCTGAGGCCTCTTTCCTGGGCTTGTCACTGGCAGATGGCCGCCCTCTTGCTGCCTCTTCACACGCTCATTCCTTTGTAAACATGTGCTCCTGTTGTCTCTTCCTCTTCTTTTTTTTTTTTTTTTTTTTTTTTTTTTTTTTTTTTGAGACAGAGTCTCCCTCTGTCACCTAGGCTGGAGTGCAGTAGCGTGATCTTGGCTCACTGCTGCAACCTCCGCTTCTGGGGTTCAAGTGATTCTCCTGCCTCAGCCTCTTAGGTAGCTGGGATTACAGGCGCCTGCCACCACACCCGGCTAATTTTTCTATTTTAGTAGAGATGGGGCTTCACCATGTTGGCCAGGCTGGTCTCAAACTCCTGACCTCAAGTGATCTGCCAGCCATGGCCTCCCAAAATGCTGAGATTACAGGCGTGAGCCACCGCACCTGGCCTCTTCTTCATCTTAGAACACCAGTCACTAGGATTAGGGCCCCACCTCAATGGCCTCCCTTCAACTTAATCACCTCTTTAAAGGCTCTATCTCCAAACATGGTCAAATTCTGAAGTACTGGCTAGCAGTTGGGACTTCAACATATGAATTGTGTGTGACGGTGGGGTGCACGATTCATCCATAACAGGGGGTGGAGGAAGGAGATGATGAATATCAATTATGGATTTAGGATTATCTCTGAGACCAGGAAATATAGCTGGTCCTGCTAACTGTTTCATTTATATGTATGTGTGTTGGCTTTTGGAAGTTGGGACTTGAAGAAGTAGTGCTAGGATGGAGTAAAATGTGGGGTACGGATGCGTCTGAACCATGTGGGGGTCAGATGCTGTCAACGTTCCATCCACATCCTCTCAGTACCTCTCAATTCCTTAAACACACAGTTCCAACTGTCAGGAACTGTGTCCCTGCCTAAGGACCCTCTCAGACCATTCTCCAGCATTGGAGACAGTCCAGAAGTGCCAGGAAATTAATGCCTCCTGGGAGTATTCGCAACCAGCGACTGACAAGAGTTGGTGAATAAATACTCCAGCTCCCTTGCGGCTTAGGTCAATATCTCCTAAGTGTGTATGTGTTCTTTTGGGGTTTTTTGTTTTTGTTTTAGCTTTTCTGTTGCCCTTGCTGGAGTGCAGTGGTGTGATCTTGGCTTACTGCAACCTCCACCTCCCAGGTTCAAGCGATTCTTCTGCCTCAGTCTCTTGAGTAGCCAGGATTACAGGCACGTGCCACCATGCCCGGCTAATTTTTTTATTTTTAGTAGAGACAGGATTTCACCATGTTGGCCATGCCGGTCTGGAACTCTTGACCTCGGGTGATCTGCCCACCTCGGCCCCCCAAAGTGCTGGGATTACAGGCCTGGGATTACGTGCCTGGCCCCAATTTTGTGTTCTGCACTGTTTCCCGGGAGTCTTCAACAAGAGTAAGCTCCAGCTGCCTGCCATGTAGCTTACTTCATAATGCATGCTTTTTTTGCCTTTCTTCTTTTCCCTATCTCATGTCCCCACTTCCATACTGGTACTTTTTGGAAAAAGTACTTGCACACAAATCCTTATCTCAGGGTCTGCTTCTGATGGAACCCAAATTAATATACCAACAGTCTACAGAATAGCTCACATTTACTAAATTTAACACATGTACTCATTTGACTGGCTTCACTCACTTTGCACTTCTTATTTCTCTTTCAAGTGGTTGTTTCTCTAGCTATGTTTTCTTATAGGCCACTAATTCTTTCATTGTCACTACTACGTGCCAGGTGCTGGAGATACAGCAGGAAAAAGAATAGACAACGGCCCTGCTACCATTGGGGTTCCAGTCTAAAAAGGCAGACAGACTTTGAACAATTAATTTCAAAGGTGAATCATATCATAACAAGGAAAATGGAGGGGCAGGAGAGATACAGTAGTTGGATCCAACCTAGTCTGAAGGCAGAAGCGGTGTCTCCCAGAGGAAGTAACACTGCAACTGACCTCTGAAGGATTAGTGCAAAGTAGTTCGGCACCAACTCCATTTGGCTTCCCTGACCAGGAGTTTGTCTTTTTGAAGCCTAACAATCACAAATGTGGCAAGGGGTCAAATAAAGCTTGGAAGAGCGATATGGTCAACACAAAAATACGAAACAAATCCCAAATTACCAAGAATCTTTATTTAACCTACCAAACTAAAAGAGCAATAAAATAAAAATATTTTCCATCCACAAAACAGTTTTACATCAACTACACTGACCAATACAGAGAAAAGGGAAATCCCTGAGGAACTGCCAATAATAAATAATGTACTTAAAAATAGAATGTTCTGAGTGTGAAGGAACATTTCCTGAGCCCGTTCAGTTTGGAGAAGTTTGGCCCTTTGCAAAATTCAGTTTCTCAAAAGGATATCCAACTGATGCAAGTTTCCTGCCATGAGAAGAAGCTGTCATGTTCAGTGGCACCTTACATGAAAGGTGGGGAAATAGGCCGGGCGCAGTGGCTCACGCCTGTAATCCCAGTACTTTGGGAGGCTGAGGCAGGTGGATCACCTGAGGTCAGGAGTTCAAGACCAATCTGGCCAATATGGTGAAATCCCATCTCTACTAAAAATACAAAAAAATTAGCCAGGTGTGGTGGCAGGTGCCTGTAATCCCACCTACTCAGGAGGCTGAGGCAGTAGAATCACTTGAACCCGGGAGGCAGAGGTTGCAGTGAGCGAAGATTGCGCCACTGCACTCCAGCCTGGGGGACAGAGCGAGACTCTGACTCAAAGAAAGAAGGAAAGAAGGAAAGAAGGAAAGAAAGAAAGAGAGAAAGAGAGAAAGAAAGCAAGAAAAAGGGGGGGAGAGAGAGAGAAAGAAAGAAAGAAGGGAGGGAGGGAGGGAAGGAAGGAAGGAAGGAAGGAAGGAAGGAAGGAAGGAAGGAAGGAAGGAAGGAAGGAAGGAAAGAAAGGAAAGAAAAGAAAAGATGGGGAAATAATCAATCTTCTTTCAATCAATTTGTCCATAGTTCTGGAAAAGCTACTGCACAGAGCTGGAGAGGAAACTATTTGCTCTCTGTAATACTGAAAAACTGAGAGAGCTATTTTAACTTGTCAATAACCAAAGAGTACCATTTTCTCACAGTGCACAGATGTTGTACAAAAAGTACATGACTTCCCTGCTGTTTGTGAGTGAAAAAGGAAAACCCAAATATTTGTGAAAGTGTAAGACGGATGCATTTAAAATTCTGGGGTCTAGTAAGGGAAAGATTCTCTGTGAAGACCCAAAACTGAGGACTGGTTTTGTAACTCTAAAATGATCTTGAGGAGTGGAATCAAAATATGGTATTTCATTGATTCCAGGATGTATTTTTTTTCATACTTTAGCATCTTAAATTCAAATGGGCTTGGCCACCAATGGTCTGTCACAAGTTTATTGGCAACTCCTCGACCCCACCTTCTTAGTGCAACATAAAATAATGGCATGTTTTACAATCAGTGGCTCCTTAGATTAGATTAAATATCATGCTGTGTAGTTCAGTACACACAGTGATCCACATAAAAATAAATCTGACATTTAAACCCTGGTGATTTTCCCAACTGAAAAAGTGCTGGCAAAAATATTTGGCATCTTAAATTTCAGCATAAGCATCACAACTTCAGGAAGGGTTAGAGGAATAGTGATGTGGGTTGGACTTGGGCTCTAGTTCTGGTTCTGTCCCTAATCAGCTAGGAAAACTGTAAGGAAATTAATTTCACACTTGTAGGCTTTGTTTCCTCATCTGTAAAATGAGAAAGTGTGATCAGGTGACTTCTAAGTCTTCTAGCCAAAAAGGAAGGTAATTTTAAACCTTGCACCACTGAGGCTGTGTGTCGCCGTGGAAACTCCACAGCCAGGCTGCCCAAAGCCAAAGGAGCTACTACTGCAGCTGGTGGCTCGGAATCCTCTGCTGCCACCTCTGCTCCTCAAGTGGACACTCTAAATCCAGAAGTGGATTTCATGCTTCCCATGTTGAAAACCTAATTCATTCACAACCTGAGTAACTGGGAAAGAATAATTCTTCAGAATGGGGCAATATGTAAACTTCAAAAAACTGCAGAACTCTACTTGCTTATGTTGTCCTAAATGTCTACCATAAATTTTAAATCTCTAAAAAATTATAGCAAGGGTTCACTTCAAAGTCTTCATGACTGACATAACGTGGCTATAGGTCCTGCTGCTCTGAGTGCCCTTTCCATGTCATAGAAGCACTTGCCGGAAAAAGCTCTGGTTTCTGAAAGAAAATAACAAAGAAATTTCATATGAATGAACAGTGCTTGTCAACACTCTCTCCTACCTTGAGAGTATATTCAACAAGAATAAGGGTGCAGGCCAAAGAAAACAAATAGTGAGGAATGGGTATTCCAAGCAATGAGAAATGGAATGTGATGATACCAGCATTGCTTTGTGGTAAATAATACCTACATTTACATTTTTATACATATTTTAAATTTGAAATTTTCAATCTATCTTTACCTAAACATGTTAGAATTAACAACAGGAATAGCAGCTAAAATCAGCAACTACAAAACAAATCACAAATTCCTAACTTTTCCTGTTTAAATTATTTTTTTCTTTTTTTGAGAGAGAGTCTTGCTGTGTTACCCAGGCTGGAGTACAGTGGCACAACCTCAGCTCACTGCAACCTCCACCTCCCGACTTCAAGTGATTCTCCTGCCTCAGCCTCCCAATTGGCTGAGATTATAGGCACCCGCCACTGCGCCTGGCTAGTTTTTGTATTTTTAGTAGAGATAGGGTTTCACCGTGTTGACCAGGCTGGTCTCAAACTCCTGACCTCAGGTGATCCGCCCATCTTGGCCTCCCAAAGTGCTAGAATTACAGGCAAGAGCCACCGTGCTGGGACCCTGTTTAAACTCATTTTCCAAAAGTTCACTCAAACTATTTTAATTGTTGTGATAAGCTGCTTAGTAGGTTACTCACTAAATTAGACTCCCTTCTTTAAAATTTTCTGAAATTCAGTATATGTTGTATATTGAATATGAATGTGTTATATACCCCCTTTTCTAAAACTTTCTGAAATTGATGTATATGTTGAACCCCAACTCATTGAATGGGCACAGATTCCAGTGAACTCCAGTGAAATGATATAACTCAAGTAAATGTGTTGGCACTAGCATCTTGCATTCAAACATCACACTCTTTGACTCTGAGGAACTATAGTTGTTGGGTCAAGTGGTACTAGTAAGCTACCAGAATATATTCTTTACCCAAACAAGTAAGGACAGAAAAGAAAGAGGTAAAAAATAAAAAGAAACACTTAGGACTGCCAATGGCCTGCCCATTATCTACACAGTGCTCCAGAGAGCAGGTGCCACCTCTGAATTCCAAGTCATTGATTTACCAGGTTTCCACTCTACCTTCACTAGGGCCTTGCCCCTTTCCATGAGAAAGAGGGAGGCTTATGAAACGAAGAAGAAATGATGACTGTAAAGACTAGAATTTATTTGTAGATTTGTAGGTCCGAAGTTACATACAGTTAGAGAACAGGGTACTTTATGTCTTCAAGTTCCATATATTTTATAGCAAAGTTGCTTAAATATTAAATATATTAAGCAATTATGTTAAGCAATTTAAGGACTTATGTTTAAATATAATAGAAACTAGTTGGGTTTTTTTCTTTTTCTTTTTTTTTTTTTTTGACTGAGTCTTGCTCTGTTGCCCAGGCTGGAGTGCAGTGGCGCGATCTCAGCTTACTACAACCTCCACCTCCCGGGTTCAAGTGATTCTCCTGCCTCAGGGTCCTGAGTAGCTAGGGCTACAGGTGCCCACCACCATGCCTGGCTAATTTTTTGTAGTTTGTTGTTTTAGTAGAGATGGGGTTTCACCATGTTGACTAGGCTGGTCTCAAGTGATCCACCTGCCTCGGCCTCCCCAATGGTGGCTCATGCCTGTAATCCCAGCACTTTAGTAACATGATTAGGACAAGTTGGCATCTGTCCTAGATAGCCAGTTGGCTATAAGTCACAAAGTAGGTGTTTTTAGAGGACTGGAGACAAACAATGTTTGATGTGCTCACTTTGGTGGTATAGAACACTATAGAAAATCACCCTGGAGCACTGTTAAAATTTGTTTAGGTTCATAAAGGACAGTATATGTAACCAACACCAAATCAGGAAGCGTGAGAGAGGGGCTGCTGCCTTTCTCAGTTGACTTCTGGCATCCCACCCACCCACTGCCTGCCACTTTGTCTTCTGACACTGTTATCCAGGGCATAAAGTAACAAGAAATGCAAAGACATGTAGTTCAGACGTGTAGCTCAGTCCACACTGAGATCAGGAATATGTAAGTGGACCAACTCTTTAAAACAGTTTTTAGTCAAAGTAGTAACACATTTTCATTGCAGACAAATTCAAAAACAGAAAGGAAAAACATTACCTGTTTAGGAATATATCTCTTCAGACCTTTTCTTTGCTCGTGTGTACCTATATAATTCTTTTACCCCAAGATAAGCCCATTGGGGTAAAAGAATGATACTTTATAAGGCCGGGCGCAGTGGCTCAAGCCTGTAATCCCAGCACTTTGGGAGGCCGAGACGGGCGGATCATGAGGTCAGGAGATCGAGACCATCCTGGCTAACACGGTGAAACCCCGTCTCTACTAAAAAATACAAAAACTAGCCGGGCGAGGTGGCGGGCGCCTGTAGTCCCAGCTACTCGGGAGGCTGAGGCAGGAGAATGGCGTAAACCCGGGAGGCGGAGCTTGCAGTGAGCTGAGATCCGGCCACTGCACCCTCTTTCATCCATGCTCAGGTACAGTACCCACAAAAAAAAAAAAAAAAAAGAATGATACTTTATGAAGAGTTTCTTTTAGTATCGCTACTTTGGCTTCTGAGGCATTTCTTCACATCTGTGAAGAATGATTTTGACTTGGAGAACGTTCCAAGCACCTCAGTGCCTAAGAAAAAGAGTCACCATGCAGTATATCTTTGCAGGTGCAGCTGGCTTAGCAGTGTTCAGTCCTTTTCTAAGAAAAGCTCGTGCAGAGCATTAATACTCTGCAGGATGACCTCTGTGATGACCTTGTGTGTACAGTGAGTGTGATATCATTTGCACTTCTTTTTATTTGACTTTTCCTCTTTTAGATGGTGGACAAGTAAACTAAAATCTAAATTACTTTAACAGTGGGGATGATGTGTGTTTTGTTGATAAGCACTGCCTTAAATCCAGGTGTGTAATAACTATAAAAGAGCTTAATAAGAGCAGATAAAGAAGGCCGGCAATGGTGGCTCATGCCTGTAATCCCAGCACTTTGGGAGGCTGAGGCGGGTAGATCACTTGAGGTCAGGAGTTCAAGACCAGCCTGGCCAACATGGTGAAGCCCTGTCTCTACTAAAAATACAAAAAAATATTAGCTGGGTGTGGTGGTGTGCACCTGTAATCCTAGCTACTCAAGAGGCTGAGGCGGGAGGATCACTTGAACCTGAGAGGTGGAGATTGCAGTGAGCTGAGATTGCACCACTGCACTCCAGCCTGGTGACAGAGCGAGACTCTGCCTTGAAACAAACAAACAAAAAAAGCAGATAAAGAGTTACTACGGAATAATCAATGAAGGAAAAATAGCCTCATTTAAATAGGTATGGAGGGGTCTCCAGTCTGCTTCCAGCTGTAGGATCCAGAGAGGCATCCTGAAGGGACAGCATGCTGGCCAGTGTGCCTGCCTGATGCAAGGCCTTGCTAGTTTGTGGTGGTGTTATAAAGAAACTTCAAAGGCCTCAATAGCACAATTACCAGTCTACACGCGACTCAATTCAATAAAGGTTCTTACCATTGATGTTACTGATAGAGCAAACTGTAGTCATCAACCAAAGAGTAATCAGGATCATCTGCAAAAGGCAGAACACAGAAAACAACAGTAACATCAATTTTTCATAATCAGATCTCAGCCCTTTTCAAGCCAGGGCATCTCACTTAGAGATTCGGGTGACTACCATTTTGTAAGGAGAAAATAGATCTGCCAACAAAAACTATAAATGGCAGTCACTACTCCAAACCAGAGGACATTCTGGAAATCACTATGCTGATTTCTTTGCCCTCTTTCATCCATGCTCAGGTACAGTACCCACAGTAAAATCATATTTAAAAATGGACAGAAATAGCATCCTACATTACCAAAGGGTAATTCTAAAGCAATAAGAAATAAAAATCTTAAATCTTCATATTGTTCAAAGATAGAATTTCAGCCACTACATTTTTTTTCCATCACTAAATTTTTAGTGAACTGTTAAGTACAGCATAAGCTGAACTCCTCCCTTATTGATAGGTTTTGGCTCTGTGTCCCCACCCAAATCTCATCTTGAATTGTATCTCCCATAATTTCCACCTGTTGTGGGAAGGACCCAGTGAGAGATAATTTGAATCATGGGGGCAGCTTCCCCCACAATGTTGTCATGGTAGTGAATAAGTCTCACAAGATCTGACGATTTTATCAATGGTTTCTGCTTTTGCATCTTCTTCATTTTCTCTTGCCACCACTATGTAAGAAGTGCCTTTCACCTCCCATCATGATTCTGAGGCTTCCCCAGCCATGTGGAGCTGTAAGTCCAATTAAGCCTCTTTTTCTTCCCAGTCTCAGGTACATCTTTATCAGCAGTATGTAAACAGATTAATACACTCATTCTCTTGAATATGGATAGGTATATCTTTTCTTTACTCAAATAATAAATATATGTTGAACCCCTACTATGTACTCAGAACCGTGTCAAGTGTTGTGAGTAATACAGAAGACAAAGTTGTACCTGACCTCGGGATCTTATTAATATTCAAGGCCTACAACTAACGAGAGCTTGTTTGGAGTAGCTGCAGGGGAATGCAGCTATTTGTATACTCTTGACCAAAGACTGACCCTCCTCTATCAGGAATGGTCATGCTCTTTGAGCACGTAGCTTCGGCAGGGACGCACATGGACTGGTGAGGGAGGAAGTGGACACCCGCCTAGCCAGCCAGATGTGCCAAATCAACCCTAGCAAATAGGCTGACAGATGTTGCAGCCAGACTGCCCTCACATCCCATAAAACTAATAAGAAGTGCTAAGATGTGTACTTCTATCCCAGAGGTATCATAGGAGTTCAAAGAAAGAAAGAGACTACTGTGATTAGTGAAAGTTCTCATTAAAGATAACATTAAGTGACATGTTTCCTGACATCCATGCCTTCTATAAATTGTATTTCTATGTAACCCAAGGGGAACTACATCTCAGTTCTGCTGTTCTCACAGTCCAAGTTGAAATAATCTTTTAGGTAAAATTTGCTTGCAATAAGTTCATTTTCGTATTTCAGTAACACAATTATCTTGGATAAGCTATAAAATAGACCACCAGTTATCATATTCCACTCTGTGACAAGTAGTATTATAGTAAGATTCTAATAGAGACTCATTCCCTTGGGAATTTGATTCTATTTAATCCTTTCATTCCCTTTATTTCAAAGTTCTAGCTATTTAATTTTAAAGAAAACCCAATATAAGAATTTTATTGTTGTTTTCTGTTTGTTTTGTTTTGTTTTGTTTTGTTTTTGACACAGTTTGACTGTGTCACCCAGGCTGGAGCGCAGTGGTGCAATCTCGGCTCACTGCATCCTCCACCTCCCAGGTTCAAACAATTCTCATGCCTCAGTCTCCTGAGTAGCTGAGATTACAGGTACGCGCCACCACACCCAGCTAATTTTTGTATTTTTAGGGAGATAAGGTTTCACCATGTTGTCCAGGCTGGTCTCGAACTCCTGACCTCAAGTGATCCGCCTGCCTTGCAATATAAGAATTTCAAAAGACATTTTTTAGTGGCATACCTGGTGAGGTTTTAGGAATTGGGAGGGGTCCTCTCCTGTAAGAAATGAAAACCAAAGTATTTTAGATAAGTCCTTGTTATTTTTATAATTTTTTTACTTCTTGCTACAAGCCTATTGTACTCTAATCAGATCTGGTTTCTGCACTGGAGGGTCAAGAAAGCTCACCTAAAGCAAATGATCTGTAGCACTGACCTACGGAAATCTACGTTGCAGACGTTCTATTATGGCAAGAGGCAGCATGCACAGTGATTAGTAGCACAGAGCCTTATCCCCACAGCCTAGACTGGCAGGATTAAAATCTTAGCTGTGTGGGAAAGACTCCCTGGGTGCCTTGAACATCCACATCCTCATACGTAAAATAGGACGTATAAACAGCTCCTACCTCACTGTGGGGATTAAATCAGCTAATTCACACTAACGGTTTTAAACAGTGCCTGACATGCTTAAATATTGATAATGATCATGCAATCTTTCCTAGGCACTCCTCATCTTTAATAAAACTGGAGTGAAAATTCAAAAGCTTAGACTGCAAGCTGACTATGTCAAACAGAAGTTTCTCTTCCCGCAGGATCCTTTACATGAACGGCAGCGAACTTTTTGAGTAAAGGGCCAAGTAGTAAATGACTTAGACTTTGCTAGCCACATACCGTCTCTCTTGCAACTCTACTCATCTCTAGGAAGGCAGCTATGCTAACCACTATACCACCAACGCCACGGTTCTACTCATCTCTAGTGGCAAAGCAGCCATAGACAAAACCTCAGTGAGTGAGGGTGCTTGTGTGCCCATAAAACTTGATAGAGGAACACTGAAATTTGAAATTCAAATAATTCTCACATGTCACAAAATAGGATCATCTTGACTTCTTTCCAGCCATTTAAAAATGTAAAGACTATTCTTAACTCACAGGCCCTACAAAAATGAATTTAACTCTCAGGGGCCATAGTTTGCTGACCCCTGCTTTCTACAGGCTGTAAGAGAAGTATAGGATTCATACATGAACAGTAATGATCAAGTTCAAGCATGATATACTCCTCCCTAAACTATGACTATTAAAATCCACTTAATATTTGTCCTAAAAATACTATTTCCAAAAAGCAAGCAGCCTTATTAAGCAGATGCAGTAGTAGATATATTCCAATTCTAGCAAGTCTTAGAACATTCATGATAACAATGTTTGCTAAAAGTAATTTTCTTCATGTGAAAAGCAGCTGGTTATTACCTTGCCAAATTAGGCCCTGTAGTCTTTCCTGGTGGGACTGCATTCTTCTGGGGGGAGTAGAAATTCTCATACATGATGGGTGCTAGGAGAGTCACCAAGAAACAGGACATGAAGAGGCAGGCGTCTTTCATCCTTAATGACATCTAACAAGAAAGGCTAAAAGAATTGTGTAAATAACACTCCCCACCCCACCACCCCATTCACCTGGTGGAATCTGTCCAGTTTTGCGTTGATTCACAAAGTATTCAATGTCCTTCTGAATGCTGCACATTTCTAAACTCTTTCGGACTTGTTCGTACATCTAATAAAAAAGAAGGTCAATTAATAGGTAGAAGTATGTTGAGATAATTGTGACACAGCTCCTTAAAGACATGGGTTTGAGGCAGGGCGTGGTGGCTCATGTCTGTAATCCCAGCATTTTGGGAGGCTGAGGTGGGCGGATCACAAGGTCAGGAGTTCGAGACCAGCCTGGCCAACATAGTGAAACCCCATCTCTGTTTAAAATACAAAAAATTAGCCAGGTGTGGTGGCGGGCGCCTGTGGGGAGGCTAAGGCAGGAGAATTGCTTGAACCCAGGAGGCAGAGGTTGCAGTGAGCCAAGATCGTGCCACTGCACTCCAACCCCAGGCGATAGTGCGAGACTCCATCTCAAAAAAAAAAAAAAAAAAGAACAACAACAACAACAACAAAAACATGGGTTTGGTAGAGAGCTGACTCTTCCAAATTTTCCTGTTTTGAAAAAAGAACACATTCCAAAGTCCCAGATTCATATTAGAGCTTTTCTCTGATGCACATCTGCTATTAATTTTTTTTATTTTATTATTTCTTTTTTTTAAGACAGAGTCTCGCTCTGTCACCCAGGCTGGAGTGCAGTGACACAATCTCGGCTCACTGCAACCCCCACCTCCCTGGTTGAAGCAATTCCCCTACCTCAGCCTGCCGAGTAGCTGGGATTACAGACGCATGCCACCACGTCCGGCTAATTTTTTTTGTATTTTTACTAGAAATGGGTTTCACCATGTTGGTCAGACTGGTCTTGAGCTCCTGATCACAGGCAATCTGCCTGCCTTGGCCTCCCAAAGTGCTGGGATTACAGGTGTGAGCCACCGTGCCTCGCCTACATCTGCTATTAATATTTTAAAGATGACAGAAAATGTATCTTTGTGGCAGGACAGAAGCCTTGGCTGAATTATTATTATTATTATTTTTTTGAGACGGAGTCTCGCTGTGTCACCCAGGCTGGAGTGCAGTGGCACAATCTTGGCTCACTGCAACCTCTGCCTCCTGGGTTCAAGCAATTCTCCTGTCTCAGCCCCCCAAGTAGCTGGCACTATGCACCACCATGCCTGCTAATTTTTGTATTTTTAGTAGAGATGGGGTTTCACCATGTTGGCTAGGCTGGTTCAAACTCCCGACCTCAGGTGATCTGCCCACCTTGGCCTCCTAAAGTGCTGGGATTACAAGCGTGAGCCACCGCACCCAGCCTTGGATAAAATTTAAAAATACTGATGGAACCAAAAAGTAGATATCAAATCCTATGGCACAAAACCAATGCCACACACAAATGCAAAGACAATTACTTAAAGAAGAGTTTTCCATTCAATCCTATCGGTTTTCTGGGTGTTTAGTTGTTCTTCTAAGGTGAATGTCTCATCTAAGTGAGAGTGGCTACTCCTTCGCAAAGAAGGTTGTGATAACTTGATTTGACGCCTCTGAGATGTGGGGAGCCCATTACTTTTGCTGTGTACAGGTTAAGCCTGGACAATGGACCAGCGAATACTGTTGAGGTAAGTCTGAGCCCTGGAGCAACCATTAGCCTGGGAAAGGGTCAGTGTCCTAGTACTCGGTGCTGTCCTGGAGCGACCCCATTCCAGAATGGAGCCGTGTCTGGGATGCACATACATGCTGTGACATCTGTCTTCCGTACATGAAACTATATTTGGATTCTATCTGTTCTCCTGCCCTAACTCTGAATTTACTTTTGTGCCCTAACTATGAATTTCTTATATATATATATAAAACCACCATGCCCAGCTAATTTTTGCATTTTTAGTAGAGACAGGGTTTCACCATGTTTGCCAAGCTGGTCTCAAACTCCTGACCTTGGGTGATCCACCTGCCTCAGCCTCCCAAAGTTCTGGGATCACAGGTGTGAACCACCGCTCCCAGTGGTGAATCTCTTAATGAGAAAATCATGGTGGCAAAAGAGCCAGGAGACAGGTTACATGTTATCTGGATCCTTCTATCAACTCACTGTATGGCCTTAGGCAAGTCACCTTACCTCACCAGGGGCGAAGTGAACCAATCAGTATCTATAGTTCCTTCTACTCTAATGTATCCAACATGCACAGGACAATCCTCAGTGGATGCCTCTGACTTACTTCATCACTGGTGACACATTGTTGTGACAGCTGATTCACATGTAACCACAATGCATTCCGGAAGAAGTTTATTCGTTCACATTCTTGAGCCTCAAATGCCTACAGAAAAATAGCTACATGTACATAAATATGCAAGGAAAAGGGCCATTCATTTTGGCTGACTGTGACTTAAGAAACAGTGTCAACCTTTAGTTATCTGTAAACTTATTGTCCAATTTAGAATACTTCTCCCCCACCACTCAGGATGCTCATAAACTCATACCACAAAGAATGCAAACAAATCCTAATATAGTAACACAAACAGGCTTGGAAATAGTTCTGAGGATAAAAAGTAATGATGATCCCAGACACCAATGTTCTAACTGAGTTTCTACTGACATTTCCAAATATCTAACATCATCTCCACCTGGGCAGCCTGCCAGAGCCTCAGATTCAACATGCTGCCCCTCCCACCCTGGAATGAATGAGTTTAACTGGCAAGATGGTCATAACTGTTGATGCTGGTTGATGAATACATGGGAGGCCATGTACTTGTCTTCTACCTTTGTGTATGTTTAATTGTTTTTCCTTAATAAAAGGGTTAAAATAAAAGTCATTGCCTGAGATAGTTTTTTGGATATAAACAAATATCACCTTTTAGAAAAATCAAGCTATTCTACGAAGCAGATGGCATTCTATTCAACAGTGGATGTGATATATCAGTGTATTTTAAAAATATTGAATACCATAGCTATTTTTAACATGAATGAATTTTATATTCCATAGCTTTTATATACCACAGCCCCTTTGCCACTCTATGAGGAGAAAAGGATGGGGACAGGCATGGCTATAAGTGGTTCTCATACTTGAATTCACATCAGAATCACTTGCAAGGTTTATTAGCATAGAGATTGCTGGGCTCTACCTCCATAGTTTCTGATTCAATTTCATATCTCATACTATAGGTTTTATTCAAAACCATAAAATTTTGAATGCCTTTTAAAATTTGCTACATTTTAAAACTTATTATAAAATAAAACAAAACTTCAAACATATACAAGAGTAGAGAGGTACAGATAGTATGATGAATCCCTATGTACTCATCACCAGCTTAAACATTTATCAACTCACAACCAATTCTGTTTTATCTATATCTCTACCAATTACCCTACTGTCTGGAGTATTTTGAAACAAATGCATTATTTCACCTCTAAATATTTTTATGTCTATATAACATAGTATAATAATTTATTAATATTACATTAGTTTTGTTATGGGATATTTCACATACAATCAGATAGCAGTATCATAAATACCTATATACCAACTACCCGGCTTTGTCAAAAACTTCAGCCATATTTGTTTCAGATTCTGTAAAAGCCCCTGTGTGATTTATCCAGTTTCTATCGCCTTCTTCCTTCCCCAGATAGCCATTATCCTGAATTGTATCATTCTTATGCAAGTGTTTTGTTTTGTTTTGTTTTATGGGGAAGGGGTTGTTTTGTTGTTTGGTTTTGGGGGGTTTTATTTTGTTTTGTTTTGAGACAGGGTCTCACTTCGTCACCCAGGCTGGAGAGCAGTGGTATGCTCATGGCTCACTGCACCTTCAAACTCACGGGCTCAAGCAATTCTCCCGCCCAGGTTCCCAAGCAGCCTCTGCCACCATGCCTGACTAATTTTTATATGTCTTCGTAGAGACAAAATTTCACTGTGTTGCCCAGGCTGGTCTTGAACTCCTGGGCTCAAATAATCCACCCGTGTCATCCTCTGAAAGTGCTGGGATTATAGGCGTGAGCCACTGTGCCTGGCCTTTATGCAGGTTTTTATATTATATATGTATCCATAAAATGTATATGATACTGCTTTACATGTTTTTAAACCTTATTTAAAAATGGCCTCATTCTAGGCTTTTCCTTAAGCGTGTGGAGTTACTAAAGTAAAGCAGAAAACAGTGTTTTAGGAGAAGCATAATGACCCACAGTATCAGATGGCAAAGAGAGGTCAAATAAGATTAGAAACAGCAAAGGCCCACTGGCCCTCATGCCAAGGGATTGCTGGTGCCCTCCAAGACAGCAGCTGCAAGGAAGCAAATCCCAGATGCTGTAGGCTGGGACAGACAGGACAACAAGGACTTGGAGACAGCTCCTTCAAAAAGCGTGGCTGTGAAGAAGGGTGGGGGTAGTAGCGGTCGTAGATAGGAAAGCAAGAACTACTGGGGTTTTTTTTTTTTTATTTTGGGGGTTTTTTTGAGATGGAGTCTAACTCTGTTGCCCAGGCTAGAGTGTAGTGGCATGATCTCGGCTCACTGCAACCTCCACCTCCCGGGCTCAAGTGATTTTCCCACCTCAGCCTCCCAAGTAGCTAGGATTACAGGTGCTTGCCACCACACCCAGTTAATTTTTGTATTTTCAGTAGAGACCGGTTTCACTATGTTGGCCAGGCTGGTCTTGAACTCTTGACCTCAGGTGATCTGCCTGCCTTGGCCTCCCAAAGTGCTGGGATTATAGGCATGAGCCACCATGCCTGGCCGAACTGGTGGGTCTTAAAGCTAGGAAAGAGCTGAGTCTGTGTGTAAGATAACAGAAGTTGACAAATTCTCTATGTCCAAGAAGGTGGGGAAAGGCAAGATGGATGAAAAAAGATCTTGAACGAGGAAGGAATAGCCCCTTTTCCATGCTAAGAAGAAAAAAAGAGTGGGGCAGGCATGTCTGCCAACGATTCTCATACTTGAATTCACATCAGAATCATTTGGAAGGCTTATTAGCACAGAGATTGCTGGGCTCTACCCCCAGAGTTTCTGATTCTGTAGGTCTGAGGTGGGTCTGAGAACCTGCATTTCTAACAAGTTCCCAGGTGATGCTGATGCTACTGGTCCTAGGTCCTCACGTTGAGAACCACTGGAAGAAAATGTGCAGGCAGGGTGACAGAAAATTAAGGAAGCTTCCAAGTTACGCTTTTTATTTTCTCTTGGAAATTGTGAGGTCATTTGCAGCAAAAGAAGGGGAGCAGCGATGAAACTGAAGGTAAGAGGAGGGTAAAAAAAGAAAAAAAAAAACCCTCCAGCCTTGCATGGTGGCTCATGCCTGTAACCCCGACAACACAGGAGGCCAAGGTGGAAGGATTGCTTGAGACTCAGGAGCGCAAGACCAGCCTGGGCAACACAGCAAGACCCTGTCTCTTTAAAAATAAAATAAATAATAAATAATTAACAAGGCATGGTGGTGCATGCCTGTAGTCCCACCTACTTCACTTGAGCTCAGGAGTTTGAGACTGCAGTGAGCTCTGATTGTGCCACTGCACTCCAGCCTGGGTGACAGAGTGAGACCCCGACTCAAAACAAACAAAAAGCAAACAAACTAACCTCCAAAGCCTGCTCACTTGCTGTCGGTGTTCCCTTTAGAGCGTATTGAGTACAGGCCAGGCTCTCCGAAGGTAATTACGTAATCGACCATTAACTGATGCAGCTATTCTATGCCTGTGCTAACCCAACATGAGACTAAAGCTTTGAGTAGTTGGACAGCATGGTCAGGATGGGAACGAGGCAGACAAGGTTTGGGGAAAACTATTCCAGTTCCTTCTATTCTTCACTTTAAATTCCTGATTTCTTTTGTTTGTTTGTTTGTTTTTGGAGAGAAGTCTTTGTTCTGTCGCCCAGCTGTAGTGCAAATGGGCGATCTTGGCTCACTGCAACCTCCACCTCCCAAGTTCAAGTTATTCTCCTGCCTCAGCCTCTAGAGTAGGCTTGGGATACAGGCATGTGGCCACTAACACCGGCTAATTTTTGTATTTTAGTAGAGATGGGGTTTCACCGTGTTGAACCAGGTGGTCTTGAACCTCCTGACCCTCAGGTCGATTCCACCTGCCTCAGCCTCCAAGGTGCTGGATTAACAGCGTGGGCCACTGTTGCCCACACCAATATGTCTGATTCTAATTTGCCCTCAAGCTCTGTAACTCTATGAGAATCGGGGCAGATCATTTCGGACAAAAAAGTAAGACCTCTCCAGGTTCATGGCAGAAGACGGTGCCCCTGCCCCCCTCTCTCCCCCTCCCCGCTTCCCCACCTCCATTCCCCCGCCCAGTTCCCCCACCTCCATCCTGAGCAGCTTCCTGTTACACCCCCCGTACCCGGCACCCCAGTCCTGAGCAGCTTCCCGTTACGGGTACCTCACAGGCCTTGATGTGCTCACTCTGCCACTCTTCTCGGACCTTATCCAGGGTGCTGATGTGCAGCATGTATGCTTTGTCTGCAACAGAAGGGAGAGACCTGGGTCAGAAACTAGACAGGAAGATGGCTCGCAGATACCCCCACAGGCTCATCTCAGATGGCAAAAGAAACTCATCCGAGTTGTGCTCAGCTCACAAGGCCCCCAGGACTCTGAGCACTGGGAGTTATTCCATCTCTCACCCTCATCATATTTGGTGAAGCAGTTGAAGCAGAGTATCACTGTCTTTTTAAACACTGGACCAAACATTGAGAAAGAAATGTTCTAAGGAAGGAGAAGTGAAAGCTGATAAGAAACCTCAGCGAAGTTTTCTTTGTCTAATTCCACCTCAATACTTCCCATCACTTTTCATTTTCAGAATTGTCTGATGAAGGGTGCAGAGAAGAGAACTACCTTGAGCCCTAAAGGGGCACCAAGTTACTTTCGTTTCGAATGTAAAGATTAAGATCTTACATGACCACAGTTACGAGGGATATTTCCGGCAGGATATTCTGGGAATTAGGAGCTTTTGCAAACGCCTGGTTTGGGCCTTAGATTTCAGTGATAACAAGGCCTTGCAGCTTGGCTGTTTCACAGCAGATAAGGGCTACCAATACATCAGAGGAAGCACCTTATTGCAAAGCCGCTACCACATGACTGCACCATCACCACTCACTCCCATGTAAGGCAGCAAGATCTAAGCAGACAGCGGCCAGAAACGGCTGCCTCATAGCCTCCTCCCACCTTCTGGGATTCTAATACACCCTCCCTTCCTCTCTCCTCTTCTTTCCTTTCCTCCCTTCTTTCCTCCCTGCCTTCCTTACTCTCTCCCTTCCTTCCTCCCTTTTTCCCTTCTGATATCTCACTAATCCTGCTGAATATCCTTATATTCTCTCTTTAAGGTATATAAAACTCCCTTTCTCAGGGACACATTTAGGATAACATAGACCCCACCAGCAACCCTCCCCCATTCGTAGGAACTGCCCCTCACCGGAGTCCTCTACTGCAGTCTTTGAAGTTGCCAGTTTCACAAAAAGCTGTGAAAACAAACAGAAAAAAAACATAGCAAGCATTGGGAATACTGGACAAGGCTTCCATAGGCAAAACAGATTGAAAAGCAGTAACTATGAAGAGACCAGGTCTAGTGCAAGTCCTATGTACACCTCCCTCGTGAGCAAATAATTCAACGTGCCCTGCAATCTTATCAGTCTTGAAAAATATCCATAAAGCATCTTACCCAGTGTCTTTCTAAAGACACATCCAGTCCTCTCGTTGCAGAAATCTTGTATCTAGATTTTACAAAGTTAAATTTGTAGTCCACCCAAGCAAAAAGCAACCTGACTACAAAGAATACATGAGCTGAGTATTTAAGAAAAATGAAAACAACTGGGAAACCCCTGCAACCTCTTATCACCCCAACTCCCTCCCTCATAGCCGTGCTTCTATCACTCTTCCCCCAACCCCCAAAAATGTGGCAGTGGTTTTTCAGGTTCAGAAGACCGCAATACGTGAAGGAAGATATTGCCAGGAGTTTAGGGTACAGGTTCATTTCTTATGAATATTCATAACTGGCTTTAGCCTGATATTGGTCAAGCTCAGATTTTTTGGGTTGTCAGCCCTCCTGGGTACCTTTTCTTGTTGCTTCGGGTTCACCAGGTTGGCACTCCGGCTGACAGCCTGTTCTGCCTCATCTTTGTCCCGGCATTTCTGCTCATAGTTCTTCTTTGCCTTTGTCATTATGAACAAAGAGAAGCAAAACAAATGAACAGAGTGTAACCCTGAAATGCAGCCCCCTTGGCCCAGGAAGTCCAGCATGGATAGGGCCCTCTGATTGTCTCTAAGCCTTGGGCTCCCAGAGGGCAGATGCTTTTTTTTCTAAGTCTTTGAAAGCTCACTCTCTCTCTCTAGCCCTTTTTCAAATTATGTAATAGCAGCAACCTGATCAAGGAAGTAGTCACTCCTATTTGGCAACATAAAGTACATGAGCTTTAAAAATGGACTGAAATGAGGTCGGGCGCGGTGGCTCATGTCTGTAATCCCAGCACTTTGGGAGGCCGAGGCGGGTGGATCACAAGGTCCGGAGATCAAGACCATCCTGGCTAACACGGTGAAACCCTGTCTCTACTAAAAATACAAAAAAAATTAGCCGGGCTTGGTGGCGGGCGCCTGTAGTCCCAGCTACTCGGGAGGCTGAGGCGGGAGAATGGCTTGAATCCGGGAGGCGGAGCTTGCAGTGAGCTGAGATCCAGCCACTGCACTCCAGCCTGGGCGACAGAGTGAGACTCTGTCTCAAAAAAAAAAAAAAAAAAGGACTGAAACAAAAGATGGAATTCGAAATAGACAAAATTAAGGCCAGGCACCACGGCTCAGGCCTATAATCCCAACACTTTGACAGGCTTAAGTGGGGTGGATTGCTTGAGCACAGAAGTTCAAGACAAACCTGGGCAAAGTGGGTGAAACCCCATCTCTACAAAAAACACAAAACTTAGCTAGGCATAGTGGCACACATCTGGGGTCCCAGCTACTTGGGAGGCTGAGCTGGGAGGGTCGCTTGTGCCCAGGAGTTCAAGGCTGCAGTGAGCTATGATCATGCCACTGCACTTCAGCCTGGGCAAAAGGGTGAGTGAGACTCTATCTCAAAATAACAATAATAACAACAACAATTAAAATATTTATGTAACTCTAAAACGTGTGGTCTAAAATTTATAAAACATTCATAATCCTCAGAATGCATGTACAATCCCTTGGTTATTTGGTACCAAGTCACTCTAATTCTAATGAAGCCTCTATATTCACCACAGCATGTGAACAGTGGGCAGGGTACCAATGCCATCATTTATTTTGCTTAAAGATAGTCGTTTTCCTTATTTATTTACTTATTTATTTAGACAGAGTCTAGCTTTGTCACACAAGCGGGAGTGCAGTGGTGCGATCTCGGCTCACTATACCCTCTGACTCCCAGGTTCAAGTGATTCTCCTGCCTCAGTCTCCCTAGTAGCCGGGACTACAGGCAAGCACCATCATGCCCCTCTAATTTTTGTGTTTTTAGTAGAGACAGGGTTTCACTATCTTGGCCAGGCTGGTCTCGAACTCCTGACCTCAGGTGATCCACCCGCCTCGGCCTCCCAAAGTGCTGGATTACAGGTGTGAGCCACTGCGCCCAGCCAGTGTTCCTTTTTTATTTAAAGAATTCTATTTTATGTAGTTTAAACGTAGGCCATGGTCTATCATGTGCTACCATTACCACCAGTATTATGGAAACAGTTCACAAACTATATTCAGTAGTGGATCATAAAAATAATTTTCTGTTTCAACTATGAAAGCAAAGGCTTTTTTAAACACCAAAGCTGCTTTATCTTAATTCCAGGAAGTAGGAAGAAAACCAACAAAGCTGTGAATCAAACAGTTAGCTAACAAATAAAAATGATGAGAAAGAATGGTTGACTAAGATAAATAAAGAAAATATGGCACATACACACAATGGAACACTATTCCACTATAAAAAGAATGAAATCCTGTCATCAGTGGCCACACAGATAAGCCTGGAGGACATTATGTTAAGCAAAATAAACCCTTTGATATACCGATTTCCTTTCCTTTGGATAAATACCTGATAGTGGGACTGCTAGATCATATAGTAATTCTATTTGTAGTTTTTTCGAGAAATCTCCATACTGCTCTCCATAGTGGCTATGCTAGTTTACATTCCCACCAACAGTGTGTAAGAGTTCCTTTTTCTCTAAATCCTTGTCACCATTTGTTATTTTTTGTCTTTTTGATAACAGCCATCCTAACTGGGGTGAGATGGTACCTCATTGTGGTTTTGAGTTATAGTTTTCTGATGATTAGTGATGTTGAGCATTACAAAATATATTTGCTTGCCATTTGTATGTCTTCTTTTGAGAAATGTCTACTCAGATCCGTTGCCCATTTTTTAATCCAATTGTTTGTTTTTTTCTTTGCTGCTGAGTTGTTTGAGTTCTTTGCGTATATTCTGGATATTAGTCTCTTGTCAGATGAATAATTTGCATATTTTCTCCCATTGTAACCACTGTAAGTGTTCAATTCAGTGGTATTAGATACATTTATAAAGTTATGTAACCATCACCACAATCCATCTTCAAAATTATCTTTACCTTATAAAACTGAAATTCTATGCCCATTAAACAATAACATCTCAACTTCTTCTTTCCCCAGCCCTTAGCAGCCCTTTCCCTATTCTATTTTCTGTCTCCCTTTCATTATTTTTTTAATTTGAAAACATTTTTGCGGGTACATAGCAGGTTTATATACTTATGGGGTATATGAAATATTTTGATACAGGCATGCAATGTGAAATAAGCACATCATGGAGAATGGGGCATCTATCCCCTCAAGCATTTATCCTTTTAGTTACAAACAATCCAATTACATTCTTTAAGTTATTTAAAAATATGCAATTAAGTGATTATTGACTATAATCACCATATCATGCTATCATCCCCTTCATTTTAGAAGATATTTTCACTGGATATAGGGTTATGTCTTAACAGTTCTTTTCTTTCAGCATATGCGATATGTTGGGCCACTTCTTCATGGTCTCCATGGTTTCTAATAGGAAATCTGCCGTCATTGGTTTTCTCTTTTAGGTTTTCCCTTTTAGTTACGGTGTCATTTCTCTCTCATTTAGTTTTCAGAAGTTCGACTATATGTCTTGGTATGGATTTCTTTGGGTTTATCTTGTTTACAGTTTAATCAGCCTCTTGGATATGTAGGTTTATGTCTTTTGCTAAATTTGGAAATTTTTCAGCCATTATTTCTTCAAATAATGACTTAAAGCTGGGCTTTTTCAGCCCACCTTCCTTCTCCTCGCCTTCTAGCATCACAGACACATTAGTGTTAGATCTTTTCTTATAGTGCAAAAAGTCCCTGAGGCTCTGTTAATTTTTTTCAGCTTATTTTCTCTCTGTTGTTCATGTCGGGTAATTTCTATTATTCTGTCTTCCAGTTAACCAACTCTTTCTTCTGTCTCTTCCATTCTCTTCTTAAGCCCATATAATGAGTTTTCTAAAATTTTGATTATTTTATTTTTCAGTTCTAAAATTTCCATTTGGTTCTTCTTTATATCTTCTATTTCTTTGCTGAGCTTTTCTATTTCTTTGCCAGTCCTTTCTTTGTTTCTTTCATTTGTTTCAAGTGTGAATCAGGTGTAGTGGCACATGCCTGTAATTCCAGCTACTCAGAAGGCTGAGGTGGGAGAATCACTTGAGTCCAGAAATTGAAGGCCAGCCTGGGCAACACTGTGAGACTCCCCATCTCAAAAAAAGTGTCTTTGTAATTGCTTGCTGAATATTTTTATAATGAATGCTGTAAAATCTTCGTCGCATAATTCCAACATCTCTGTTATCTAGATCTTGGCATCTATTGATTGTCTTTTTTTTTTCAGCAGTTTCGTATCTTTCTGGTATGAAGAGTGATATTCGATTGATTTGGGGGAATTTTTGGTATTACGTTACAACACTGTGGGTTTTATTTAAGGCTTCTGTTTTAGCTAGCTTCCTCTGCACACCACTCCAGCAGGGGAAGGTGAGGCATCATCTCATTACTGCCATGGGAGTGTGAAAGTCCAGGTTTCCCCTCCGTGGTCTCCACTGACACCACAGAGTGTGTGTGACCTAGTTACTGCTGGAAAGTGGTTAAAGTTCTCACTCTCCAGTAGACCTCCTTGGACAACATCCCAGCAGGGAGAGGGTGTACGTCATTATTTCCTGGTGCAGGTGGAATCAGGGTTCCCCACATGGTTCCCACTGACACTGTGTAGAGGAGGCTCTGTTACCTCCTGGTGGGAATGAAAGTCCTGGTTCCCTATTTGTTCTCTGATGCCACCTTGGCAGGGGAGTTGGGTGCTCTCTACAGCCTGGTGTGGTGGAAGTTTAGACTCTCCACTTGGCCTTTGCTGATGTGTGGAGGTGGGGCCCCCGTTTTTTTTATGTGGTGTTTGGCTGCAGTACAATGGTTATTTTCTAAAGTTTCTGTCCTGCTAGGCTGCCCCTTTTCTGGTCTTTTGGCTGGAGAGAACAGGCTTTTCTTGGAGCTTTTTAAAAAAATAATAATTATTATTATTATTGATAATAAAAATATTTTTATTATTAATAAAAATTATTATTATTATTAATAAAATATTTTTATTATTAATAAAAATTATTATTATTACTATTTTGTGTATGATCGTTGGCATTTCTGGGATGCCTGCTTCTTTGGCACTCAGCCTGCGAAAAATGAGGCAAAAAGAAAGCCCAGGGAACTCCTTGTCAGGTTGCTCTTTCAGTCCAAGGTCACTAGCCAGTGTGCCTTCTTCTCTCCACCTTTCAGAGCTGTTTTTGCTTTGTTTTGTTTTGTTTTTTTGAAACAGAGTTTCACTCTTGTTGCCCAGGCTGGAGTGTGCAATGGTGTGATCTCGGCTCACCATAACCTCCGCCTCCTGGGTTCAAGCAATTATCCTGCCTCAACCTCCCAAGTAGCTGGGATTACAGGCACACACCACCACGCCTGGTTAATTTTTTTTTTAGTAGAGTCGGGGTTTTGCCATGTTGGCCAGGCTGGTCTTGAACTCCTGACCTCAGGTGATCCACCTACCTCGGCCTCCCAAAGTGCTGGGATTACAGGCGTGAGCCACTGTACCTAACCAGAAAGTTATATTTGGATAAGCCTTTCTCTTTAATTATAAAAAAGCTTGCCCCAGATTGCTTAAAATATAAAGGTCTGGGAAAAATCATCTATCAACCAACACTATTTCTGTATTACACTGACATCATTCCCTATTTATCAATTGTTTTTGAGGGATTTCTGCATCAAAGAGAAAAAGAATGCAGCAAAACAGATTGCATATGTTATCAACCTGGTAACACTTCCCTGTTATGTCCTACTCATAAGAGTATCATGATGATACTTCTGTATCAAGATGGAGTCATACATGTTCTAATAACAGAGTTTGTTGTATCCAGAGTCAATAGATTCATAAAAGCTAGAGAGAGATTTCTAGCAACTTGTCCAATCTCTATCTTACCAAGCAGTTTTTAAACAAATTACTTCAAGGAAAGGTTTTTATAATTTTCTTTTTTTTTTTTTTTTTTTTTTTTTTTTTTTTTTGGAAAAAAGTTTCCCCATGTTAGCCAGGATTGTCTTGATCTCCTGGCCTCCTGATCCGCACACCTTGGCCTCCCAAAGTGCTGGGATTACAGGCTCGAGCCACCGCGCCCGGCCGGTTTTTATAATTTTCACACCACTCCAGCAGGGGAAGGTGAGGCATCATCTCATTACTGCCATGCGAGTGTGAAAGTCCAGGTTTCCCCTCCGTGGTCTCCACTGACACCACAGAGTGTGTGTGACCTAGTTACTGCTGGAAAGTGGTTAAAGTTCTCACAAACCCAGGAGCCGGAGCTTGCAGTGAGCTGAGATCCGGCCACTGCACTCCAGCTCGGGCGACAGAGCGAGAACTTCCGTCTCAAAAAAAAAAAAAAAAAAAAAAAAAAAAAAAAAAAGAATATTAAAAACCTTTCCTTGAAGCTAATTGTGTTGTGTGAG